AATCTCACCATCTGATTCCCAATATCTTACGCATCCTCATAAGTAATCCCATCTACCTCCAATATGGTGATAGAGTTGTTGCGCCCGTTAGAATTAGCGACTTTATGGAAGAATTTGGTGCATTTGTCCCCCTCTTTCAACCATGTAACCCTAGATTTCTGACGCCAGGCAATCTCCATCAGTCTCTCCAGCTCTCCCCTTAGTACTCCACGTCTGTCCCTATCCTCCTCATCCAATCCTAGACCCTCCTCGCCCCTATCTAATTCTTCAATTTCTTGGACACATTGATATTTACGCTAATTAACATCACCCACCACCTCCCCATTCCACCTCTTGAGATCCCTCTTCAATGCTTTTAATTTTTTATCCAACACATAACTGGGAGACCCAACGAATTCATAAGATGTCCACCAATCCCTAACTCAATCCCTAAAGCTTAAGCCACATCTTCTCAAATCTAAAAGGCCTTCTTCCACTACGCCTCATATCCCCCGATAACAAAATAGGAAAATGATCAGAATACACCCTCCCCAATCTCCTCTGAGTGACCTCTGGATATTTGGCCTCCCACTCCCCACTAATCAAGAAGCAATCTATTCGAGATAACACAGGTTGATCCCGATTAGATGACCATGTAAAGTCTCCTCCAATCAAAGGCATGTCAATCAACATATTTTCACTTATAAAATCTGAAAAATCCTCCATTGCCCCTGTTAGTCTCCCATCGCTAGACCTCTCTGTAGGAAACCGAACCACATTAAAATCACTCCCAATGCACGTTGGTATGTTCCACCAAGCCATCATCCCGACCAACTCCTCCCACAATCCGCTTTACTTTCATCAACATTAGGACCGTAAACTCCTGTAAACATCCAACGGAATCCATCCCCTTTATTTCTAAACGAAAGCGATAAAGAGAATAGTCATTCACTGACCTCCTCCATTTCAAGAACTCTAGTGTCCCACATGACTAACACACCTCCAGAAGCCCCTGATGATCCCATATATTAATACCCGACATCTTGTCCCCCCCCCATAAACTCCTAATGACCGCCCTCGAGATGAACTCCAACTTCGTTTCTTTTAAGCAAACAAGGTCTGCCCTCCATCCTCTTAGCAAATTTCGTATACCTATCATTTTCCCCACTTCATTGAGCCCCCTCACGTTCCAGCTGATTATTTTTGGGATCATCTAGACGCTCTGTCATCCCTCCCAAGCAATCATTTCTTTGACTCAACACCCTTGGCATCGTAATTTACTGACCACTCAAGCCGCTTAAGTTCACAATCTCCCTTTCTTCTCAATTTAGCCCCTTATATATTCATCCCCTGTCCCCTGCTGCCTTCCAATTCCTCAAATAATTGCAGAAGTCTACTTTCATATCCATCGCATGACACACCAACCATCTTACTGAAATCCTGAATTTTTTTAAGGACCTAATTCGAAGGTGGGGATTCATCGTCGATCGCATTTGCTTTCGTTGTTTCCTCTGCTAGGTGAAACTCCAAGGGATCACATGAATATCCCTCTACTTCCTCCACTAGCTCGATATCTGTATCTATGCCTCCTTGCTTAGCACCATCCACCCACGACACCACAGCTTTGTCGGTCTCTATTTCCTTTTCTTTTAGGGGCTTAAAATGCCTTCTATTATATGCGTTCCCTACCATGGCTCTCGAACCTGTAGCCTTGTTCTCTTTCAGTACTGTAGAGATAAATCCCTCTGCCAAAACATGTCCCATCCCTTACTCAACTGGTATTGGTCCATTAGCCGGCCATGTCATGCCCATCATTCCAAGTTTATCCGACTCCAAACTCACCATCTTCAACTTCCCTCCCTTAGACCAAGGTCTCGCCTCCTCATCTATTTCAGATCCCGAGTTGTCATCCTCTATATCTTTAGTAAGGCCTGCTTTTGCTGATGGCTTCTTAGTTGTCAAGAGTTCTTCATCCACGGCCATCCCACACTTGTGACAAAGCATCTTGGGACCCGCTACAAATCCACATCCACATCCTACGAGCCGAAGTAGTTCATCCAACTCCCCTTTCAATGATTGGACACGAGCCTTTATTTCGGCGGTATTCACTAAACCATCGATTGAAACTTCTGTGTATGCTGCCTTGGACTTAGGCCTCATACAATTACCTTCATCTTCACTCACAATAGCAACCTTTTCCTGTCTCCTTAGAACCCTTCGATCACTGATCTGCGGGACCTGTGTGGTCGCCGTTACTTCGGCATAGGTCATCCCTTGTCGATTTCGAGCATTCACCGTTCGACGTTTAGCCTTATCTCCAGCAACAAATGAATCAACTACCGCCTGAAATACCCGAGAGATCGATGCCCATCCTTCTCCATTCGTGCCTTCCGGCACCATCACAACTCCCTTCCGACGCCTATCCCCATACTGTGCTATCGTCAAGTACCTTCCACGACTGTTCGCACAACGTTGTGCCAAGAAAGCTCTTGATGACTCATTGAACTTCGAGACGAGTCTTCCAACCTACTAGTCACCCTCAACTTGTCTACCATCTTCACCATCCAAAGTGCGCCGAATCTTCCCATGCATATTGCATTAGATAACTTCGAGCCCCACTCAATCATCCTAACATCACCGTAATTGTTAACAGAAACTGCAAACTCCTTCGCCTCCACTCGAAAACGATAGTTGAATACCATGCCGTCTCCATCCATTAACTTTCTCACCCAATTGTGTATAAATGGCACATTTGACGATGGAATAGGCATCGTGGGTAGTCTGGGAGCATTCTGCAGAATTTCCACATTTTCCGATGGTAGCGCGTGGGGGACACGTGCCGGCAGATGCGCCATTCCGGCAGCGCGTGCATCTCGCCGCCATGCATCTCTGACCAGAATCGCCACAGCCCTTCGGTCAAGCGCATTTGCCTGGGAAAGGGCTGGAACCGGCCGAATCTGAGATAGGGCAGTGATACTTCCACCAGTTTCGCCGTCTCCCATGGCCCCCGTACCATCCCAGGTAGTCTCGTCGCCGGTCCGATCGACTGTTAGAGCAGCGGTGCTAGGGTTACCACCTAGGGCCGCCGCCTGAGTGTGCGGCTTTATTATTGGCGTGAGGCCGATCTCCGGGGGTTTGCCAGGCGATGCGATTCCATCGCCAGCGTTGTCCAGGGTCGGTGGTGACTGGATGGTGGTTTGGTGGGTATGGGATTGGGGGTGGGATTTGGATATTAGGGGAGGTTCCATTGACGGGGAAAAACAATGTCTACTGTTAGGATACAATTGCTTAAAATAAAGGTGTCTAAAACCCATGCAAAAGGCATGTGAAGATCAAGAATGGGTGTTAGCAAAACATATTTAACTTTTTCAGAAGGATTTAATAAGAAAAAAAGAAAAATTGTTCTCATACCAACTGATGCAGAATGGTAAGGGAAAAAAGAGAAGGGTGGAGAGGAGGAATGGGACAATAGGTTATATACACACAGAACCACCAGCCCGAAAAAAAAAGGGAAAGAAAGAAAGAAATTTTCACCAATAGCACCGTGAGGAAATGGTGAAAAGAACCCCCATCGGGAAGTGAA